AAATTAATTTTTTTGCCTTTGTTTTCTTCTTATTAAGAAAACATTAAAATTAAGTTATGATTACCGAAAAAATTGCTAATCAAACGAACCTCAATAACGTCCCTCATTTTTCTCTAAAATGTCCTTGGTGTTTTAAAATCATTACAGTTCAAAATTTTTCGCAAATATCCACAAACATTACTATTCCCCGCTTACTTCTGCCCGCTTGCTCTGAAGCCACAGTCTCCTTTTTCACTTTCCGATCCACGGCATAAGAAATGTATGGATAATGAATGTTGCCCTGCATGCCTTTAACTCTTTCTGCATACTCTTCTTCGGTTAAAACTTTTTCAACCGCGATAACTATTTCCTTAACCCTTTCGTTTGTTTCAGGATCTCAATCGGACTCCTTTTCGGACTTTTTTTCTAATTGAACCGGAATTCTCCGCTCAATAATGTCATGGAGGTCAGGAAGAGGAAAGAACGACGAGATGTCGACTTCTTTCGTGGCACTCTCCAAAAAATTAAGAGCATTTTTAGCCTCGGAAAATAATTCTTGCTTTTTCAATTCTCATTCAGGCTTTCGTCATTTTTTAACTATTTCCTGAAAAAGAGAATTTAATTGTTCGGAGGTAATTTTTCCTCTTTTCAATTTTAATTTGCCCTGGCTAATTTTCGTCAAGTCCTCTAATAATTGGATATAAGCCCGAGATTTGAAATGAGCCAAAACTATGGCATCAATCGCATGGTGGTATGGAGTTAAACTTCTTAATTGTTCCTTATAGTAAAAAGGAGAAAGTTGTCATTTTCCTTTTTCTTTATATTGGAGTAATTGCTTGCGAAAATAAGAAGTCATGGAGCCCTTAATTGATTGAACTTTCATTTCCTTGGTGGCGATTTTCGTTCGAAACTCTTCTTTCTTGTTTAACTCATTTTGAATATAACGTAGTAAATAAGTGGCGATCATTCTTGTATCATTCAGATTACGACTAACAAAATCTTCCAATTCATTTTCTCAATTTTCCTTCTCTCCTAAAGTTAAAAATTTGTGTTTGAAAGGATTGCGAATTTTGTAAAGTTTATCCACTCGATTTTTAAAATCTTGCCACTCTTTCTTAAAAACCGACTCTGGTTTATTTTTTTGAAAAAAATGGAATGGCAAGTTTTCTCCTTTCTTATTGTTACATTCCTTGCACGATAAAACTAAATTGTTAAAAGAATCATTGGCTCACTTGCTTTGGGGAATAATATGTTCAATTTCGAAATTTTCTAGCCTACTTCAATCGTCAATTTCTTGGTTACAATAAAGGCAAATTCCTCCATCGTTAGTTTCTTTAATTGGAGTTTTTCTGATCCAAACCTTTTTCATTCCTCTCCTTTTTAAATCTCAAAGTTTTATATTTTGATCCTCTCACAAACGATATTTTTTAATGTTAGTCTCGTTAACTGGAATATTCTTTTTGCCTTTTAATTTTTCAACTATTTCTTTTTTTTCCTTGGCTTGGTCTTGATTTTTACGCTCAATTTTGTTTCTTTCTTCCTCAGAATTTCACAAGTCCCGTCCGGTTTCAATGTTAATGGTGGCAAATCCTTCTGGATAACGCAGAAAAAGATTTTTGAGAATCTTGCGGGTTTGGTTAAAACTGCGGAAAACAACTGGATTTCTTACTAAATCTGGATGCATCCACGGCGATCACATTTCTTTTTTATTATTAACATTCACTAACTTTTCCTTTTTGGCTTGGAACTCACCATATTTTTCTCCCTCCAAAAAGGCTTTAATGGCTTCAATCATATACCGAAAGGAAACTGCTGCCGGAGACTTTTCTTTAACTTCTTTTAATTTGGCTAAGCAGACGGAAAAGGGTTCTAAACTATATTTTTTGGCTAATTCAGTCAACTTATCTTTTCTTCTCCATGGAGAAACATCAGCAAAAATAATCTCCCCTATTTGGTAAAAAATAGTCTTTTGGTAATCTTCATAATTTAAGTAAAATTGCGACGGACAGCCTTTTCCTAAAACTGCATAAAACTCCTTGTCTTCCTTTAAATAATCTAAAAAACTCACTTTAAAATCAATTCCGGTGGGGAAACTAGGTTTTACTTCCATTTCTTTTAAAAACTTTTCTAGTTGCTGACGAAAAGTCCCAACTTTTTTCTCTTGGTTTTGGGAATTTTTGGGTTGATAACCAACGACAGAAAGCACTCAACTAAGACTGGCTTGGTGAATTTCTTTTACCTTTTCCACTCCCATTTCTTTAATTTCTAATCCACCAATTTTAGAAAACTCGTTAATAAACTGGTATAAACAAAAGACAAGCGAACAACGTCAACCTCTTTTCTCAGTGGGAAAATATTGACAAGAGCCTCTGGTTTCTTCAATCGAGCGATGATGAACTTCCTTTAAACTTTCTTTTCATTTAACATTTTTTTCTTGGTCTCCTGGACCCGGACCGTCTTCAAAATCTCGTTGCCGAAAAATTATTGCTTTAATAATTTCCTGGGCTGAAAACTCTTTTGTTTCCAATTTCCCACTTTTTCATTGAAAATTCTTTTCTAATTGTGTATAATATTTGCTCTGCTTTGTTAAAATTTTCTCTGTTTCTGCTTCTAAAAGTTTGCGTGGGAAAACAAAATGTCTATGTTTTTTTTCTTTTTCTTCTTTGTTTTCGTAAGTTTTGTTTGGGTTGTGGTTGTGAACTGAGAGCAAGTTTTTGCTCTTTTCATGTGAATGACGAAATTTTTCCTCCT